AACGGCCTGAGTTCAATCCCCAGTTCCGCAAAAAAATAAATAAATAAATAAATAAATAAATAATGTATTTGGTACAGAGTCTTGCTATGCAGCTCAGACTCATAGTGATCCTGCTGTTTTCAGCCTCCCCAGCTCTGGGATTTCATGGAACACACCACCATTCCCGGTATCGGTGCGCCTAGGGGCGGGGCCGGCACGGCATGTGGTGCGGGCAGTCGAACCCTGGTGCCGGGGATCAAACCCCAGTCCTTGCGCTTGTCTAATCAGGCACTTAGTCCACTGAGCTATCTCGCCACCCTCAATAAAAACTTTAAAGAAATTAGGTGGACTTTACTTGTGTGTTTTATTTCTGCTTGGATTTAGAATTGGAGTATTAACAGAGGGGCACTAGGCCAAAACAAAAGAAAGGCATGAGCACTGGTAGCTTAAAGATTTTTAAAAATCCACTTTGTTTGCAGAACTTTTCCTAATGGTAATGCTTTTGGAAGTGAAGCAATATTTGGTGACAACCACTGACTGAAAATGTTGCATGTTACGTTTGATTTGCAGCAGCACAAGTAGGCAAAGCACAGGTCTAATTTCCAACAGTCAGTTCTGTTCTAACAGAACTTCCTGCCTGTTGGGGTGTTTAGCAAGTGCCTTTAAATGAGTGTGTGTCACGCTTCGGTCTGCTCCTTGGTGGCTGCAACATTTCCAAAACCTTCGAGGCCCTTTTGGCTCACGTGCCCTGTGTACGACGTAAGCACAATTTTTTCTTCTAATATCAATAAATGTCTTGGGCTGGAGAGATAGCTGAGCAGTCTAGGCACCTGCCTGGCAAGCTCAAGGACCTGGTTCGATTCCCAGTACCCCATGCCATGCTGACTCCACCCCAGGTGCGCTGAGCCAGCCAAGAGGGGCCATGGCGCCCCCCAAGTCCCATAATCCCAGCTCTAGGGAGGCTAAAAAGCAGGAAGATCACTATGAGTCTGAGCTGTGTAGTAAGACCTTGCACCAAAATAATTAAAAAATATATATCTTTATCATGTTAATTTTTCATTAATACATATTTTACAGTAATAAATATGTAACAGTCTTATAACCACATTAAGTGAAGTAGACAAGTTGACATACTCCTCTGAAAAGGCCATTTTGTACATGTCTTACTGACTTGTGGGAGTCAGATGGAACTATCCTAAGTGCAAAACACGTAAAATTAGGACTTATATTTGGAGTAAATAATGCCATTGGCACAGCGTAGCATCATGGTAAGTACCACTCATTAACCATCTCTCATGAGCCAGGATTTGTACAAGGGAGTCTGTTATTTCTAATCCTGAAAATAACCCCATATGCCACATCGTTCTGTTCTGCTTTGGCAGGGAGGAAACACAGCTTAACTCTGTGTCTGCTAGGATCCAACGCTGTCCTGTAAAGATATGATATGCCCCACAGCAGTCCAAAGATGCGGGTTTCTAGTCTTGCCTTTTCCATGGTAACCTTCCCTAAAGTATCTCTTTTCCTTATTTGTAAAATAGGAGATTTCTTTCATGGCTTCTAAATTATTCTCAAGCCTCAAATTCTCTGGAGAAATTATATTTATAGAGTGATTATTGAAGTACTTTGTCATGGGGCCAGATATATAGCTCCATGGCATAAGCACCTGCCTGGCAAATGCAAGGTCCCATGTTCAATCCCCGATACTGCTAAGTAAGTAAGTAAGTAAGTAAGTA